AAAGAGGAGGAGGAGGAGGAGGAGGAGGAGGAAATACACAGTCGGTTTTTTGTCGTGCTTCTCGTATTTTCAAATGCAGTTGGTAATTTAGAAGCAAAGTTACCTTACTCGTATTGAAAGAGACGAGGTTGAAATTAACGATTCGACTGCATTGGTTGTTCCAAAATATTTCCCTTTAATTCTGGAAACCATAGTATCACCCCTCCCCCTCCATACCCATCCCCACCAAACCCCCACCCACCCTACTCCTACACCATAACCTCCTTTTCCTCCTGAAGCAACCTGCGACAAAACTAAACAGATCCGCCCATGGGTGTAGCTAAGGGTATGGGTAACTCATAGACTTGAATTTAAAAAATCCTAGACCGTGCACTGTCATGGTCGCCACTCTTTGTTCTCTGAAAAATATTTGCTGTGAAGTCTGCGCACCATCAGCGCCCAAGTTAGGGGTAAAAAAAAAAAGAAAAAAAAAAAGCACATTCGCATTACACGAGTGTTTTCAGCACCTATTACATCCCTCTACCATTCATTTGGTTCTGAATTGAATCAAATGGTGCGATCCATGGTGATCCAGAGTATTACGCCAGAGTGCACGGTCTAAGATATTGTAAAACAAATCTATGGGGTAACTCTAAACCAGCAGGTTCGGTTTGCAAGTTTATTCACTTCCCCTATTTCTGTCTCCAACTCAAACATTTGTGGCTCTGAGATATTTACTGTTAGCCTATCAAGTGCTGTATGAGTTGTCCCAGTAACCCAGTGCTGGAATAGAGTGAGACAGATAGACAGAAGCAAAAGAATGAAAGACAAGAATTAAGACGGACAGACATAAACAACAAAGTGAAAGAAAAGAAATAGGATCTACTATTAGCACCCCTAACCACCCATTCTCTTTCTCTCTTTCTATGATTTTTATTCTGTAAATCTGTATCTGTCTCCCTCTTCTGACCTTCCTTGCAAACCGAAGGATTACTTTTAAGGAAGGGTCAAAATACTAAATAAAGACAAGAATTAAACTCTACAGAAACCAATCACCAAATCAGGAAAAAAATATAAAAACAACCAAACTAAGAAAAAAAAACCAACAGCATGGGTCTCTCACTCTACATGTACAATGATGAAACAATCATAATGCGTAGTCTGTTGTTTTGTAGAAAAAAGTACTAAAAACAATGAGGCAGCATTGCACTTCTATGGCCGTTGTTGGCAGCTGTCCGAAGTCATAAGAAGAAAGACATGATATACTACCAGGAACAAAATTGGAGATTTAAAAAAAAAATTTTTTTTTTGGGGGG